GCTAACGAGTCCAATAGAAACTCTCGCCAAGCGACCAGGGAAGTACTTTCTTGGAGTGCAAGGCTATAACAGAAGTGGAACAAACTCTCACAAGAGGGACAAAAGATCATGTTTCGGAAATAGACGACAAAAGCGTTCATGTGTCGAGGTCAAGGATCCCCCTCCCACTTCCCCTCAGGACGAAAATGTCACTGTGGTGCCAGTATACGATTCTAAATCGGATCAAAACTATACTCTGAGGGTTGCCCTTGGGAGCTGTGTCTTCTGGTCAGAGGACAGAGAAAAGTGGATAACAGAGGGCTGTCGGGTGAGTGGTGTAAATGTTCTTCAGTCAGGTCTCATTTGTCATTTTTAATTTTACAATCTAGTGATCTTTAGAAGCCTCTGCTTCTGAAATTCTGATATGAAAGAGTAATCCGCCGCAATTGTCCAGGGCATTTAATAGTTTTCGTAATTTCACTCGGGGTGTAGCACTCTAGTGCTTGTTTACGACAAATTTGCCTTCTATGAACCAATCCGAATTGAAGTAATTATTTCAAGCCTCTGATGAAATTCTTTTTATAGTGAAATTTTTAACAGACTGGCAGAGAAAAAAAATAATTTTGATAGGACGTTTTACGAGCAACGTGGTCAGCTTTTGCTAGCCTACGTACTACAAATGATAATGTGGAGAATTTTAAATGATTTTATTTAATTTCGTTTTTTTTCTGTTTATTTTTTACCAGGTTTTATCAGCAACATACAACGCATTTATTAATTGTTCCTGTAATCATCTGACTTCATTTGGAGGAGCTCTTTTGATTAAACCGAATCCCATTGATTTTGACAAGGTCTCAGTGGAGTTCAAGGATCTCGAAGAAACTGGGAATGTTGTAGTTATTGTGATGATCTCTGTAGTTCTCCTGTGTTATATTGTCGTGCTGGTTATCGTCAGAAAAGCGGATCAAAAAGACGCCAGAAATGTAAGCATCGATTAGGACAGTTTATTTCGATAGGGTGCATAATTACAGTCAGGGCTGTAGTCTTCCTTATGGCCCTATATAACATGACTTATTACAGGAAGTTTAACCATATCGATTTATAAGAATTAATGTTGGGTTCAACTGTAAAATCCGCTGTTTTGAACATTTTTACAAACTTGCCGGGTTCTACCCTGGAATCCAACGATTTCAGTTCAACAATTTTGGAATTTGTACAAAAGCAGCTTGTAAAAAAATTGTTGTAAATTTAAGCACACCGGGCTAGCAGAGGCTTGAAGCTGCACCCTCGGAGAAACTTTTCGCTCTTTTATCCGATGCAGCTCAAACTTTGCAGTGATAAAACTTTTAATTTCAAACAATCGTATGGGGTTTTTTGTTATTACTTAAATAATTTTTCCCTGTTAAGGCCCAAAATGTAGTTAATTCGGATAGAACTCGTTAAGATAAAGTGAAATGCGAAAAACTTATTGAAAAAGACATGATGATAGATGCGAATGCAGCCATAACACTACTGGAAAAAAGACCAGAAAAAAAATTTCAGGCTTTGCGAAATAGAGGGAAATTCAAAGCACCAAACTCTATATCTTCAAAAGGGATTAAGCTTCTTCAAATACTTTTAAACTTTCTGACGGTCCTGCTGAAATGATCGAGCTGGGACATAAAAAATTGTAGAGTCAAGTGATTTATGGAAGAAAAAAAAAGTGGCAATTACAGTTGATTGATTGGTTGAGATAGGAACAAATTAAATTTAGCGGAACAACTCCTTACGATCACCTCGTTAATACAGTCACCTCGTTATTACGGCCGTGTTGGTTTTTTGTCCTGCCGAAACGCCCGTACATTTTCTCATAAGAAAACCCTGTCCATGCGGCCACCCCGTTAATACGGCCAACGATTACGTTCTGAAATCCCAACTTACAACCAACCAAATACGCATTTGTTGTTGTTGTTGTTGTTGTTTTTTTTGGTTAAACAAAAGAAAAAATATTGAGCGATTCTGTTGTTTATTCAAACGCCTGTAACATGTCATTGACCTCTGTCGTTAACATATCAAACACAATTTCCTTCTCAAAGATGTCACTTAANCTGGAGCGAGAAGACGGTCGAATTGAGCGAATCATTGAACAGGCGCCAAATGAGGGCACTTTTAGACACGAGATGCTAAAACGTTGGTGGAGAGGTCTGACTGAAACCCATCTTTGGGTCTCAGTTCTAGCGAAGCCGAGGAGAAGCCGCTTTACAAGAGTACAGCGAGCATCGTGCTGCCTGTCAGTGCTGCTTACAGCCATGTTTGCTAACGCGATGTTCTATAAGTTGGAAGGTAAATCTGAGCAAGTGCTAAAAGTAGGACCCCTGAAATTCTCGTGGGCCCAAATCATTATCACTTTTAAAAGTGAACTTATCGTTGCACCCATAAACATTGTGACAGTATTCCTTTTTCAGAAAGGAGCAAGTAAGACTCTGTGTTGTCGTAAAGCGAAGTGGCTTACCTACCTGGCCTGGTTATTCTTGTTTAGTTCTTGTGTTGTTTCTACTTCGTTTACCATCTTCTACAGCTTGATTTGGGGAAAGAGCACCAGCGAGCAGTGGCTAACGTCAGTGCTTGTATCACTGGGGAAGGATGTGACAATTACAGAACCTGCTAAAGTGTTACTCACAGCGATTTTCCTCGCCGCCATTGTCAAATGGAAACAGAGTAGATCTGAAGGACGCCAAAGCCACAAAGTAGCTAAAAGTAGCCCCTCACAACAGCGACTGTGGAAAATAAAGCTATCTGAAGTGGAAGACATGAGGAAACAACAATTAAAGAAAAAGAACTGGTCGCTTCTTTTCTTCGAGCTTGTCGTTTACGTCCTGTTCATCTTCTTGGTGATGGTCTTGTGTTATGGCAACCGGAATAGTTACCAATATCACATGACAAAGTCCATCCGGAATGGGCTACCAAACTTTGAAAAGGTAAGCACTGTCAACAGTGAAACAAGTCTGGTTTAACTCCAAACTGAGTAATCGTGTGGATTCGTTTGTTTTTTCATTTGTTGAGCTGTTCAGTTCAACATATTTTACAAAACGAGCAGTACGAACAGTAGGCATGATGTTTAAAACCAAAGTGAAATGTTGTTTAATTAATTCAACTAAGTTAAAGCGGTTTTCAATTAATTGAGTGTCGAAAAGTAAATTGGTTTTGTCGTATCATGCTACACGATTGGCTTAAAAAAACTCGCGCCATTTTGTCAAACATAACCAATCGTGACTCGCCCTCATACGTTTTCCCGCGCTTCGCGTCAGCTTCATGTATTTACTTCGATTATCGATTGGTTCGTTGGTCTGTGTCTTTTGTGATGGGCTTAAGTGATTACTTTGGTTTTGCTTTTACGATATTTAATTGGAAACCGCTCTATACTGTTAGACAGGTTTTCAATTCAGCATTGAAAGTAACTGGCTATTTGGAATAATGCGGAATTAATAGTGATATTTTTATTCTGGAATAAGGTCAGTCGAACGCGCCCTGAGAATGAGTCCAACCTATTTTAGTGCTTAGAACGTGGCGTCACAAGACATGCGGAATGGAAGCGATTTCGGCTCGGTCCATAACCTTGGGGGAAGAAAGGAGCAAGTGAAATATTATCCCAGTATGGACCTCGTGTTAGTTCAATAACATTCGTATGCCGTAAATCTTCGAATCAGCGCCCGGGGCGCTTATTTCAAATTTTGGAGAAGACGAGGGGCGCTTATTCGAGGGGGGCGGTGGGGCGCTTATTTAATTTTTCCCAAGTCGTGGCCTGCATGTGTATTTTTTTTAATACATCATCTGCGCGTAAACAACAACATAAGCTGTTTATTGACATAAAAAACCTGATCCTAAAGTTTAAATCTCGTCACCGTTAGTACTTCACGTGTTCAACGTATTCACTTAACGTGTTCACAAACTGAAACAATGTACAAATCTGAGCTCTACATGACGAAAACTATACATCCTTTGTTGTCTCATTACTCGCCCAAAAAATGGGGGAAGGGGAGGGGGGCGATTATTCGAGGTGGGGCGCTTATTTTAAATTTCAGCCGATAGGAGGGGCGCTTATTAGAAGGGGGCGCTTATTCGAAGGGTGAGGAGGGGGGGGG